TTTTAGATATACTATGTAAATCTGATAAATTACGTCCCGTTTTGTGAAAATGTTTAGGTTCATTTTTCAAGGTTGGTTTGTTTGTGTGGTTTTTAACACACGCTTTGGTCATATCTTGGTTACTGGTTCACCTCGACATTCCTGGATAACTAACCAGTAAATACCAATTTCTCCACAAGTTACCAACAACTTATGCAACATGATTTCTGAAGCAGCAGCTAGAGACAAATAACCATCATCAGACTCGGTGTTCGAGATCAGTAGTAACAGAGAAATTTTGCGCGGCACCAGGATCAAACCAACGACCTCTGGATTGCAAATCCAATACTCTTCTTATTTGGCTAAGCAGGGGGACTCAATTTTCAAGACAACTATACAAAAACTTACCTCATTTAATAGAAGTTCATTTTGTAGATTCAACAAAACACACAAGAATAACTGAAAAGAGAATAAAACAAACATCTTAAAATCAATCAAATTATCATCAAACAAAATTTTTAATCTTACTAAGGAAATGCCAGGGTAGTGCCACTAACCAGCCACTGGCAGCATTTCATAATGTTTATCCAAGAATATAGTTTTCTGTTCAATTATTAAATGGAAACAACATGCGAGGAAGCTATCTAGCTAACTCATGCAAGTTTGTTATTCTAAAGTGACTTCACATGACAAAAGCACCTTCTCATGACTAAATCACCTTCTCATGACTAAAGCAGCTTCATGTTACTAAAGCTCCTTCTGGTGACTAAAGCATCTTCCATTGACTAAATGACTAAAGCACCTTCTCATGACTAAAGTGCCTTATCATGACTAAAGCACATTCTCATAACTAAAGCCCATTCTTGTGTCTAAAGCACCTTCTCATGACTTTAGCACATTCTTTATTATGTCTGATATAACAATGGAAGGATACCAAGGTTTTCCTTATTAACCAGTTAGTTATTAAGTCTAATATATTGACATAATGACATTATTAGCCTAAAATAAATCCACCCTAATTTACAAAATTTCACTGCAATAGGAAAACATTTCTTCAATATAATAAAAGAACATAAACAGCTAATTTAAAGGTGCAGCCATATAAGTATTTTTATAGGTACTTTTGCAAAAGTACAACCACACAAACAATACATAGAAGTTAAACGGAAAGGTGCAGTGTCCTACCCTAATTTAAATGAAAGTACACAACATTATGCTTCACAACAAAATGATGATGCAGATTTTATAGTCACTGAACAATAACAATACAGTGAACTTAAAACTTTTCAGTGGATCATAATTCTCAATAACCTACCTCATTCCTTGTAATATAAATCAAGTTTGGTTTTGGGAAAGCAGTTTAACATACTTAATAATTTTGTACTTATATCAGATATAACCCAGTGTATAGAGCCTATAATTATAATGTTTTTATATCAGATATAACCCATATAGAACACACATATTGTACTTATATCAGATATAACCCATATTGGTCACACATATTGTACATACATCAGGTATAACCCATATAGAACACACATATTGTACTTATATCAGATATAACCCATATTGGTCACACATATTGTACTTATATCAGATATAACCCATATAGAACACACATATTGTACTTATATCAGATATAACCCATATTGGTCACACATATTGTACTTACATCAGGTATAACCCATATAGAACACACATATTGTACTTATATCAGATATAACCCATATTGGTCACACATATTGTACTTATATCAGATATAACCCATATACATCATACATATTGTACTTATATCAGATATAACCCATATAGATCACATACATTTTGTACTTATATCAGATATAACCCATATAGATCATATATTTGAACTTACATCATAACCAAGGAACTTACATCAGATGTACCCCATATAGGTATTAAATATATTTTGAACTTACATCAGATATAACCCTAATAGATCATATTTTTTGTACTTATATCATAGATAACCCATATAGACCATATTAAAGTTGTACTTACATCAGATATAACCCGTATAGAGCGTATATATTGTATTTCTGTATGAAGTAGCTCCCATATAGCCTCTTGTTGATCTTGCTGTCTCTTTGTTAAATGCTGAAAATATAAAACAACAAAAGTAACATTTGAAATAATACTCCCTAAAATACTTTGTTCCAAATTACTGACTATAGTACAGTAAAACCCTTTTTCTAAGGTGCCCTTTGCATTATTCCTGGCACAAGCCTGCAACAAAGTAAAACTACAAAACCTTAATATAAAAGGCTGGCTAGATTATAGCTTCCTCACATGGAAATAATTCAAAGTCTTAGGCAGGATCTGCAGCTACAGCATTGAGGGACTTATGATTCATTCTTCAAGCTTAACAATGTTACAGGCCAAAGAGGACCCCAATACAGTTGAACTCAGTATAAATTATGTTACAAATTTCCTATAAGAAAATGAAATTTTTTTATCCTGGGATGGTCATTTAAAACAGGTGTGACTGTTACAACAGGACAATGTAAAACACAAATGGGCCCAATAATGCAATGTTATGAAAATATTAAAATTTGTGTAAGAAAACAACATGTTTTATCGCCCTTGTTATTTACAATGAGAAATAACCGAGTTATGTGTCAATGAACTAAAATAGCAGAACTAACCAGACAGCTCAAATAACGCAGTATTTGAGAATGTGACAATAGCAAACACAATTTACTTAGTGAAGTAATAAATTCTGCAGCTTTCAATGTTATTCATATTGTATCCAGGAAGAATGAATAAACCATACTCCTATTTCTGATTAATTCAAATGTATTTGAACGAGACATTGTGTAATACTATATGTGTTAAACAACTGCGCTGTTAAGTATAATCCTACAAGTCCTCCATGTCTTTTTAAGTTCAGACATTTATGACAAGAGTTGTCTCCCTTGACAGAAAAAAAAGTGTGATGACATTGGGTAAAAGTTTTTGGTTTCTTTTTTGTTTTTTAGGTTGGGTTTAACCTCGCACGTCATATTTTGACTTTCTAGCTTTACTGGTGGAGGAGAACGTCAGGTGCTCTTCCGTGCATTATTTCAGGCAAACTTTTTAAAGCTGGGCATCGTTAGAGCATCTTTTTGTGAATTTGAAGAGATTTCAATGGTAGCTGATCAAAGTGTGGCCTAATTAATATAGTTACATGATGATACTATTGTTTTTATCAAAAGCCAGATCAAAAAATTTGATACAATTGGCTTATTACTACAAGTAAACAATCATGACATGTGTCTTTACTGTTCATGTTTCAGACAGCATGAATACACCACAGTATCAATACAATTATCATATGACTTTCCTGACAGACAAATAATAATTTATCTGTAAACTGTCAGCGGAAAAAATGCCATCCCTCGGGCTGTTATAACACTTTGCTGATGATAATAACCTAACTGTAAAACCTTACCCCCCTGATAATCAAAAATTGTCAAGGCCATTATAAATGGCGGACACAGGACTTCAGACAGATTGCCATAGGCAGTCTAGGCTTTTTCTTTTTAATGCACCTCCTAGACAGATTTTTTTGCAGAGATCTTTATCACAAAGCCCTAATATGGTGATAACCAGTTAATTAAACAAACTATTTGTTGATATTTTCATAACTTCTGGCTATGACAGATTGACCTTGAGATAATTATTCAGGCTAAATGGTTTCTTTATTTTCTTTTGAAAATTTACAGTTTTGAAATTATCTCCCTTGATTAAAAAAAACATCAGTACAATGTAAAAATCATCTCCCTTGAAAATGTTTTTTTTTCTAATTTTCAGGCATTCAGAATGTAACTACGAAGTAAACTTCCTTAATTAATTTATATATTGCAAGGTCTCTTCTTACACTTTTCTGTAAGCTGATATTTATGAAACTTCAATTTAGATATTAAAGGTGACAGGCCAATGCTGTCTTGTTTGGTTTTTTGGTTTTTTTTAAAAGGAAGCAAAATAACAGATCTTATTGGTCTAAGGAGAATTTTTCATAACATTCCCAATCAAACTCCTAAATTAATTCATTTTTTATTTTCTAGTTTCATGCATTAAAGAGATCAAATTTCTACTTTGCTATTTTCTTCCTTGTACCGTTAAGTTACTGGTGTTTTGTTTGGTCTCAACTGGAAGGTAAACCACACAAAAACAAACTGTTATGTTATTATGTAATATATAACTTATTTTATTTCCTTTGCAGACCCATACTTCCTAATCATAACATGTCACTGCCATCATGTACAACATGTAAAATCCATTTCATATTTGTGAAATGCCTGACCTCTCCTTTACCTAGATGATGACTTCCATTTTCTGTTTTATTGTCACCAGATTATTAGTCTGTCCACAAATTAGACATAACCTGTCACTCAAGCTCCTTCTTACACCAATTAGATGACCTAATTACATTTCACACTCTTGTACTGTGCATGCGTAGCTTTTTGACATGAGTTAAGTGCATTTGTGAAAACAATTATGTAATCACTAATTAAATCATGAAATGCATAAACATGACATTTAGTAGGTTGATAATAAACATTTTAAACTCGAAAAATTTTGAAACAAATATTTTAGAGAAAAAAATCAGTCATAGTGTTACAAAACTTTGTATATTTACCAGTCTGAAAAAAAAAACTTTAAACAATATCATTGTCATAAAACTTTCAGCAAATACTCAGAATTTTCAAGTGCTGTTATTTAAGAACTGAAGGAACTCTGCCCTTAAAACTCCTTGAAATGTCTTCGTAGAGTCTTATTTTGAAATACATTTTGACGAGTCATTAATACATAATGTCCTGTCGTTATTACTTATATAGCAAGCTATATAAATGTTTTTTTAACTTCGATATTAAACGGAACACAAACCTGCGAGTTGTCTACAATAGACCTCCAGTCTGCGTCTATACTGAATACAGAGTCGTCAAACTGCGAGTGCTCGAACTGTACGAGGGAAGGAAAGGGAGGTAATCCATTACTACTGTAGTTGTTTAACAGTTCATTCAACTGATCTTGTTTCTCTTTATCCTGGAAAATATAAAAATACAAAAAATGGTTACTTATGTATCAACAAAAGAAACTTGAATATCTAACCAAGCTATTATACATGTATACCAGGGTTATTGGAAAGTGCTATCATAATGCAATCAGCATACCTAACCAGACCAGGGCCGAGGTTAAACAGGAAATATTCTAATTTCAAACTCAGCTCTCAGATATTTTGATTGGTCAGAAACAGGCACAGAATGTGAATTGATCAATGAAAATCCTGAGATTCGCGCTCAATCTCAGGAAAAGGTTTTATAACCTTTAAATGGGCCAGATACTCATTCTGATGAACTTAAGCCGATGTCAACCGGACAAAAGTTCAAAGCACCAAACCTTATTGTATTCTATTCAGTCTGATCATGATCTTCACTGTTTACTATTCATTTAGTTAAAAAATTTCAAATTTCCTCGCAAAATGATGAATAGTTTGGTCCAGATTAAAAGACTGACCAGTCCCTTTAAGATTATTAAGTGGGGACTAAGGGTAAAAGTACTGAAAGTGAGCAAGGGACAAGTTATTTCAGAGTCTGTGTAGGGTAGTATGCATGTCAAAATATTGATGGAGTAACACTTGCAATTACTATAAGCTTTAAGTAACACATTGTAAATAAATCAATTAAACACACCTAAAATACGACTATATGTATATAAGTCCCATAAAAACCCAGCATGAATATAATTCATAAATTATGTATACTGCTGAATAAAACACTATATAGTTACTATTTCACAGAAAAATTTTACCAAGCTTTATGATTTTAATACAAAACTGAATTTTTTCTTTTATGTATTTATGGTTATTTGTAAATCTAGGCAATGGTTTTCACTCTTCCATGACAATTCTTCTGAAAACTATCAAAAACTATCAAAACATAAGATCTCAGTCTTAAATCTTCTGACTAGGCTTATAGCAAAACTGTTGTAAGATATTTTTCCGATGTACTTGGGTACAATAGTGATACTTTCTTTCCTTAACTTATTTTAATTTCTTTCGAAGAATTTCAATCATGAATCAAAACCGGCTTTGATATTGTCATCAGAACTCAATAACGAAGATCCTTGAGTTTTAACATTTTTACGTTAAATTGTCAAATAATTACATTACGAGGTCGTTTTTTTCACGTCCATTCGCCTCTGTCAAATTACTATCATTTAATAGACAACGACTTAATTTGTTCCCCGTGTCATCTTGAAGAAAAAAAGAATGCCGACTTGTAATTTTTCTTAAACTTCTTGAAAAAAAAATTCAGAAAGCAGACGTTAATTTTACAAAATTTAATGGTATTTAATAGGTGTTTAACTGGATCAGTGTCTTATCTGCGTCAGTGTTATAATCAAATTCTTCAAATATCTCCACAACTATCTCAATTACATGACATTGGTATTCGATATATTATATACAAACAACAGTGAAACGTTCCACTTTCTGTCCGGATCAATGAATTCAAATATCAGATTTAGTAAAAAATTGCATTCTAAAGTAAATTGAAGAAGTTAGATATGTTGAAAAAGATCAGATCAGTTATTGAGACATTATTTAATGTCTGATCAACTACTTAGTTAGAATTTAACACTTCGTCTGTTGGCCACTGCAGATTCTAACTATGCCACCAAGATCAGCTGGCAAGACTGTGCCATCACAGCATCATCAGCTCTGTATACAGTTATTCAGAAGTTACTTTGAAATTTTCCCTAAAAATGACAAAACGTATTGTCCAGATTGAAAAATGGAAGAGTCCATTTAAGATATTTAACAGACAAGGATTAGATTTGTCATTATCATAATTCAATATGCTACATTATACAGCATTTGGTGCATTTATCTTTTCATGAGTCGGGCAAAATTGATCTTAAATACACATGCATATGCTGCTATAGCTTATTCAGCAAACATTATCTTTCCTATAACATGTGTCACTGAATCAGCTTTTAATTCAATATTTGAGCCGCGTCACGACAAAACCAACATAATGGGTTTGCGACCAGCATGGATCCAGACCAGCCTGCGCATCCGCGCAGTCTGATCAGGATCCATGCTGTTCGCTATCAGTTTCAATACTTGTTATAGACTTTGTAAGCGAACAGCATGGATCCTGATCAGACTGCGCGGATTCGCAGGCTGGTCATGGGCATGCTTGTCGCAAACCCATTATGTTGGTTTTGTCATGACGCGGCTCATTTATCTTAAAAGACTTTATTCAATTATTTTGCTAGGTTCATAGAAGAATCCATGCAGTATTTCAGTCTTACACTTCAAATTGATTTGTCTCATTAACACTGAATATGGAATGTCCCTTCGAAATTTGAGGGATTTCGATATCCCGAACTACAGAAACTTGTTTCGGTCCTCTTAAACAAGAGAAAAAAAACAAGATGAAGACTTTAAACGTCAGTGCTAGGTGTCACAACATGTCAATAAACATGATACTTTGATTGACACCAATAAATTAATCAGAGTGTTTCTTTTGAGTCCCCTACATGCTTTATTCTTAGGTGAATACAGTTGCTGATTTTAATTCTGATAATGTAAGTTAATGTGTGAAAAACCAAAAGATGCATACATTTTCTTACAAAAACACCTGTCAGAATATCATGTTACACCTGTAGTGTCAATGATTATTGATCAATGATTCTTATCGAGACAGATTTGCTGACAAGATCACTAAAGAAAAGAAACATTTTGTTCCTTTTGTACAACATTGCGACAGTGTCCTTTGATGGTTATAGCCACGATCGAATGACATCAAATAAAATGAAGCGGAGTGTAATATGTAAGGATGTTGTGGTCCTACTTTTTCCGATGCCGTAGTCAAAATAAGTCTAACGTATTCAGGCGTCGTTATTGATGTACCATGCTTAATGATTGATTAATCAATTAATCTTTTAATAGGACTAAGCCATTAATCTGGTTGTAGGTGAATAAGATTAGTCAAAGTTTAATGTTACCATACGTTTAGAATTTGTATGCAATATGACTCCCTATAGTGACGTCTTAATCCGTTCCAGTAATATCGTTTGATTTGACTGTAATACTGGGTTAACGGCCTTAATTATTTAAGTTGATGTATTTGACTCAGAAAAGTGAATGACCTAGTATATGCTTACAAGGTACATAAAGGTAAATTACAGTAGGAATTAAATACAAAATCTGTCTTTATTCTATGGAGAAGTAAGCCAAAAACAAACTATAATAATTGGCTATAAGATTCATTTCAAAAATAGGAAAATTCAAGTATGGACATTGAGGTAATATATCCAAATAGACTTTGGGGTCTGTTACCAACTAACCAATCAATGACAAAAAGAATATACAATATAATATTATTACAATACCAATTTAAATCATTCAAAAGATTATTTTTCTCCCAGTCCAAATATACATTAGACAAAGCATCAAAAATTTGATACTAAATTCTTCCAAACAAATTTTATTCTTTTGAAAAAAAAACAAAAAAACGAGAACTTATTAAAAGTTGAGATTCTTTCTATGTGTGATTCTAAATGAGACTAAATTATACAATAATTATGCTGCACTATTTATTTTGTACCACAAACAGAAATTTTGTATAAACCTAGAATAGAATGCGGTTGAAAACCAATGATCAATTATAACCCATTTGGAGCAAAAGAGCATTTCATGACCCAATGAGTAATCAATGAACCCAAAGGTGATCAAGTAAATATTGCATACAAAGGTGTCATAGTTTACTGAAAATAATTTTCTAAGTGAGTAATCAAAATCTATAACGTGGCCTTTTTTGTATCCACAACAATTTTATTCTCGTTAGTCTCGTGAAATAACTTTTTTACAGGCATAAACACATAAATAAATATTGGGCACAAAAAAAAAATGAATATCACTGTACACTAAATGACCTTCAAATGAAAACCCACGCTGAAACGGTACGATTATGAAGTTTTAGCCTTTACCTCAGTATATTTATGCTAATTATTTGTTACTAACACATAAAATAACAATGTCATCCAAATATGTGTCTTACTAATAGCTATTAAAAATAATCGTGACAATAAGTATAAACAAATAGGATGTAAAGAAAATAATCATTTAACATGACTAAAAATGTTCTTCAGGCAAATTAAATTACTTACTTTTTTCTCTTTATTTAAACTCCTTTGCGAATTATCAATATCTAACGATTGCTTTTTAAGTTTTACAATAAAAAAATATGAATTATCATCGTTAAATATTTGATAACGCTCTTTTCGGGGTTTAGGCAGGGCAGAACTTAAATGGTCATTCAAAATGTAAAAGACATATTTATGAATCGTTAATTACACTTTCAGCACATAAGTAAGAGGCATCAAACAACTTGCCTGTATCAACTGTACAGAGCCAAGGCAGTCTGCAATTATTAGCTATTACAATGAAAATTGATCAGAAACTATTCAGTGTAAGCAAGGCTTGCGCTGGCAGGATCCTATGAGAAAATTGACTCAAGATTATCACCATTGGCTCAAAATTATGAAAAAGTATGACTTTTGGAATGTCGACATTCGCTTTCGCTATTGAATGGGAAAGTTTACATTTGAATTTCTATCTACAACTTCCGCTAACAGTGTTATTTGTTCAAGCTTGGAAAATCTAGAAATAGGCTGAGCCAAAATCAAAGCAGGGCAAGTTTATTATCCGAATTCAGCAGGGTAAGCAGGTATATTTTAGCACACAGTTGTGAGGGAAGAGGAGGATCGGAGAGAAAGAGACATGCAGCGCCAGTGTAACAATACATGTTATCCGGAACTTGGCAAACTTTTATGGTTATGATCTTCAAGGTGTACTACAAGTCAAAATAGATTAGTCAAACTGTTGCACTTATTTTCAATGCTGTAACTGTAAAAGTTTGTACCTATGCCGGATTAGCTGGGAAAAACCTAAATAGTCTTAATTCTGGAGTTAGTCAATTGCTAGGCAATTGAATTTATCAAATAAAATTTTAGATCTATTAAGCTATATATATAATTATATTAATTCTCACATATTACACACATACACATACCTTTGAAATCCAGGTCGGGTGGGGATTATATACCTCTAACAGAGAAAATAAATCCTTTGAATTTTTATACATATTCCTTTGTATTCCCATTGCAAAACCAACGTAATATTGATGTCCATTAATTATTTACTTATTACACTCATGCCCGCTATCACTTTGTATTATAATACAACTTGATGTATGAAATATATGTGTTAATCTATAGTTCCGAACAGTTATTATACATTTTTTTTATTTCAACACACTTTTTACAAAGAAATTTCTGACCTATATAGATTGCTATTTTATTTACGATACACAAAACGATTCTTTTTTGGGGGTATAAAAATAGAAGAGTGATAGCAAGAGTGACAAAAGATTAATTATGAAGGATGGTTTTTTATTGGTTAGTTTACTGGCCGTTTGGATGATGCGTTATAACGGTTTGACGTAGTTCACGGTAATAAATAGTATAGATAATACATCATTCCCCTCCCCCCCTCGCTTTGTGTCAGGTATATATATGATGTATATATACACTGAACAGTGTGATATATATACATTATATAACATCGAAATAAATACACACATGACAACATATTACATACACCCACGTAATTTAGAGCTTTAAGACACACAAACACTTGACTTATATTTGTTGTTTTTAACATAGTTATCTTAAAAAAAATTGAGTTATAAAAGTAAACACTTTTTTTAAAAGCATACGTTTCTGGAGTTATAAAGTATATTTTAAACACTTGTTTGAAAGCATTTCACTTTTGATATCATATAAAAAATGAAAATTTAACACTAATTTTGCTATAACATAATTATACTAAATGTTTTCAAGTTATAAAGTACAGTTTGAACACTAATGTTACTAAGCATTACAACCTTAAATATAATTTTATTTTGTTGTTACAGTCAGCTGACCTCAATATTCAACATTTTTCAAAGTACCATTAAAACACTCGTGTTATCAAGCATATCAAACACTTGTCTTAATTATCAAGCATATTATAATTAGAAATTTAACATTTATTTATAGAAATTAATTTCTGAATAAAAAGCAATTAATTCATTAAATTTTTAATGAAATTTAACATTTACTTAACAAAAATTTAATTCCTATATTCAATGTAATTTAGAAATTAAATAACACTCAATTAACAACTTATAATTGATTATAACATTATGCCATGATAAGCAACTCAACAATTTAACAAAACCACAACTCTGAATTCCTTAATAATGGTGGTATGAATATCTTATTACAGTAATTAATTTAGAAATTAAAGTTTAACATTTACTGCAATTGATCCCTACATAAATACACAGATATTAAGTATTCATTTAACTGCAATTAAACCTTAAAATAAAATCTCACAATTAAATCTCACACATACTGAAGATATAAGATTTTATTAAGTCAACACCACTTTTATAATGAAATCTTAAACATCTAATTTTTTCGGAAAATTCTTGCATTTTAAATCCTCCCAACTTTTGACGGCTGCTTTTGAAAATTTAAAAATTGGGAAAAAGGGAAAAGACTATTCACAACAACAGCCAAATTGGGAATGCTGAAATAAGCAATTCATATAAAGAAATATAAGCAATTACATCATCAGCTATCAGTTTCTGGCTTTCAAGTCTTCAGGGTTCAATTATTACTAACTATTATAGAAAGATACTTTAAAAGGGTTTATCTAACCCTCAGATCATGCTAAATATCTTAAATGGACTCGTCCATCTTTTAATATGGACAAAATCATTCATCATTATCAGGGTAAATTTCAAAATATGAACTGGCTGAATAGCGCTATATATAAGTGCAGATCATGATCTGGCAGCATGGTTGTATGGGCTGATCTTGGTCTGCACTGGTTGCATGGGTAGAATTTCATGCCGCCAATAGGCTTGGGGTGTCAATCAACTTAAACTTTGTAACAAAATTTATTGAAATATGCGATCAAATTCCATGAAAGTTTAACAAATTGCTTGTTATGACCAAAGTTCAACAACATATTGTAAAATTCAAGATTTAATTATACATCTTAAAACTTCTCCACCTCCCAACCCAAGTTCTTTCAATATATTGAATATTTTAATTAAGATATCCCCCTCAACAATATCCCCGCCCCCTTCTCAAAATTACTCCAAAAAAGGAAATCATTACAACTTCAATATTGTCAAACTTTCCTATACATTTTCAATAATAACTTCAAGTTTCAAAGTTCAAAATGTCAACAAAAATGAACTTTTGACCATAAAAAAAAAAATTGTACTTTTTATTTCAGAAATTGGATGCGAAAATTACAATGGTATTAAAAGTACTTTGTACGGATTAACAATTCCATCTCTCTATTTACAATGTTTACAAAAACTCAACAATATTGGGTTCAAATCACAAATTTTGATGAATTAAAAATGTGAATTGGGCTTATTTTATATCCTTCAAGATCTACTGATGTGCAGACTTGAGGTATATGCAAGAGAAACCCTTGTAATGAATAAGCAAAAAAATTTAATGACTTTTTTATGTTAACAATCAATTATTGCTGCAGGGCAAAAAGTTTTTAATACTAAAAATAAAATTTAAAAGTACAGAGTTCACTATGATGATGTATTTATTTGAATTTATGATAACCCAATTACTAAAGGTGATAAGCCTTTGCCACCATTTTATTATAGAGCCTGAGGCCAGGCTTGCACATCCATGCAGTCTGACCGGGCTCGAAACTGCCGGCCCATTTCCAATTTTCATCCTGATATCACCAGAACTGATAATGGGCAGTTCCAAAAATGGCAATTGGATGAGTCTATTTAATAAATAAAACAGGCTCAGGGCATTACAAAATAATGAAGACCCAAAGTGACTAATTAAACAGACCCAGTACCAACAGACCTCTTAAAACATACCCAAAGAAAAAAAACATAGATCTCCCTATCTGTTTTTTTTGCGTTTTTTTTTTTTGCATTTCAAAGTGCTCACTCAATTCTTGATCAGATTTTTTGCTTAAATAATATCATTTTTTTTATTCAACTTAGAAAC